AGTCAGCCTTGTGTCGTGTTGTTTTGCACAGAACAAAGACTTACTGGGCGGGTAGGCATAGTTCGAGATGGGAGGAACAGGAGTCGGATGTTGAAGACCAGGAGGTGCGGTCTGCCAGCCGGAAGGCATCATGGTGATGAGGGTAAATCGCGCGTATGTCGGTTGGTGGTCCGATGGTCCGAAGAAGCTGCCTTGATTAGTTGTCTTTCGTGGAGGCGTTCTATAGACTAGATTTCGTCGGTGTGCCTGCTATTGTCGACTCGGGCTTGCTGTCGGGTGTGCGTGTGAAGCTGTGAAAGAGTCGAAAGGAATCTGTGGAGCAGAGGATCTGTGGGCAACGCATAGACTTCTTTCTTACTTGAGAGGAGGTCGCAACGCACGGACCTTATGATCAGCCACGTGACTGAGGATCCCCCAAGGAAGCTTTCTCATTATCACCTGTTGGCTACCTAGAAAGTCTCCCTTTTACCCAGGCAACTCGCTCTGACTACACCAAGAAAATTTCCGTAAGCTTTTACTACACCTACGCCATCCGGCCTTGGAACATAGGCTCGCGAGGTTTTCCGGCGTGTTCACGAAGGCGCCCTCAAGTGTCTACCTTCGCGTCCGACAACGAGATTATCGGCAAGTCCAAACGCGAACAGATGAGTCAGCATGATCGTATCTACCTGTCACAGAACACTTCTCTAGCTTCAGATTCGCAGATTCCTCCAAGGGTCAAGATGCAGCGTTGTAACGTCCTCGCATCGTGCTTCGGACCCCTGGAAAGTACAAGTAGACGTTATTGTTAGCCTTCAATGTTTCGATTCGAGTAACGCTGGCTCAAATGGGGCAAACAGCATGTGACGTTTTGCCCCTGGTCTTATCTAGCGGCACGCTTATCAGCAGTAGAGGGGCGGCCGGCCAGGACAGGGATGGACACCTTGACTCTCAGGGCGCGGGGGGGGCACTTCATAAGGTCATCGACACACGACTCGCAACCCAATCTTGCCGCGAGGACCTGGCCGACCATTCTTAACGCCCACGAACCATGTGGCATCCATAGATTACTCGACGGTTGCCAGAGCTTCATGTGCTTTTGTACGTGTGCTAGCTAGCCTATGGTCGTCATCCATCTCCCTCGCATCAACCGACCTGCAACGAAGCAAGCTGGCAAAGCGGCCGCTCTGGCATGACGGATGTTTCTCAAATCCATCGACCTCACCACCGCTCTTCGGCCTTCCTATCTGCCTGACGAGGTCCTGCTATTTGTGCAAGACAATGTAGGCCTATATGAGGGGTAAGTCAGGATGCGCCCTAGATTTGCGACCAAACTGCTGCTGACTTTAGCTTGTAGGAAGTATAAGTTGCCGCACCATCAAAATGGCCAGGTATACCTGACATCGCACCGAATCTGCTATGTCGACAAAGAAGATCCTCGAACGCACTCGGTCGCACTCGAGTTGAAAGATGTCGACCGCTACGAGTTCTACGCTGGCTTCCTCAAGTCGTCGGCCAAGATAACGCTCATACCGAAACCCTTGAAGCGTTCCTCGCTCATGGCCAGAGCATCAGCCATATCCCCAGCCACTGGACGGCCAAGTTCTCATATCGGTCCTGGTTCAGGTTCCACCACACCTGCTTCGTCCGATGGTCCCTACAGACCCCCCTCCGAGCAGCCGTCGGTCAGCTCTGCAACCTGGGTCTGCACCATATGCAGCTTCTCAAACCCAGTTCCTTCGAATTTCGATCCAACCACGGCCAATATTCATACACCTCTGCCGCCATGCCTCGCTTGCGGGATCAAGCCCTCCTTGGCGCACGTGTTAAAGGCGGCCATCTCCAACGCCACGAATAGGTCCGCTGCAGCACCTGCGACTCCTTCCGGGCCGCTGCCTGTCGCAGCGCGACCCCAACGGTCGAACTCGCGAACAGGAGAAACGGGCGGACCCCCACTGTGGCCAGGATCGTCCAGCATCATAGGCACGCCTCCTCCGCAACAACCAATGCAGCCAGCGCCGCTCGACCCCAGCGCCCATTTCCAATGCCCTCGGTGTACATTCCTCAACCATCCATCGTGCTAACATGTGAAATATGCGTGCGCCGCTCTTGCCAAAACACACGACATCGGCCCTCAAGGAGGCCCCTCAACGAACAGAGTCACCGGGGCCCGTTCTGAAGGGACCTACGCTGGATCTGGGTCTGACACGGCGGAGAGCGTCAAGATATCCTTCCGAGGGGGAGGCGAGAAGATCTTTCCACGAAAGGCTCAAAAACTCCATCGCGCAGCGAAAATGGCTTTTGCAAGGAGCCCCGCCGGTACCGAGAAGCGGTCGAGCCTCGAGTGAAAATGGGGCTCATGGCCAGTCACCGTCAGGCTCAGGCCCGGAGCGAAAGAAAGGAGTGGGCATTGCCGGGCTTGAGCAGCGCGGCCTCGATATGCGCAAGAACAACGAGGTCATGATTGGCAGCGCTTTTTGAGGGACTTGGACGCTCTCATGGCCTCGGCGAAGGAGATCGTGGCGCTCGCAGAGAGATTCGCGCGGCAGGCCAACGGGGGCAGTGGCGCGGCGGCTTCTGAGGCGAACGCGCTGCTCGCCGAGTCGGCCAGCCAGCTCGGGCTGATCACGACAAAGGACATAGTCAGCGGAAGCAGCTCTGAGAAGCTCTACCTCTCGGAACTGGCTCGTAATCTGGCCGAGTTTCTGACAGACGACGCCCGTGGCGTCCTCAAGAAGGCGGGCGGGGTTTTGAGTCTGGTCGACCTGTGGGCCATGTTCAACCGGGCCCGCGCCGGTGTCGAGCTCGTCAGCCCCATGGACTTTGAGAAGGCGGCCCAGATGTGGGAGTCGCTCAAGCTCCCCGTGCGGCTGCGCACCTTCAAGAGCGGTGTCATGGTGGTCCAGAGCAGTGACAGGACCGACGAGACGACCATCAAGGCCCTCAAGTCATGGCTGGCAGACCTTCACGAGTTTCCCCCTGAGCGCGAGGTGGCATGGGACTGGCGAATGTTCGGCCGTGGAGTCACGGCACGCGACGCAGCCGAGCGGTTTGGCTGGAGCATCGGCGTGGCTGAGGAAGAGCTGGAAATGGCCGAAGAGCGCGGCGTGCTCTGTCGCGAGGAGGGTATCGAGGGTCTCAAGTTCTGGGAGAACTTTATCGACACGGGCGAGCGTCACAAGCGGCGCGTCAAGAAGCGGACGACGGAGGATGACCAGGTCACACGCGCACTTAAAGAGGCGGGCTTCATTTGATGAGGGTGGGGGGTACCCCAAGTCTACCTGCCGCACCTCAACTCATTAAAAACGTGTGCGTCCCCATCTATTTGTCCCTTCTATGTATCTTCTTGATGTGTTGTTCATTAGCCAGCCGTGCGGGAGGATTTGCCCCTCCTTTTGTTGTTGTTGTTGTTGTTGTACAGTTGCAGATAAAAAGCAGACATCACCCAATCCCCCCGAAACGCCATATCCAATTATCGGAAAGCCGAAGCCACTTCTGGCCGGTGCGGCCCAAACGCAGTGCAGAGCAGAGTCCAGAGTCCCTATCAAACCAACTCTCATGAGGTTCCGCCTGACCTTTGTGTCACAACGCGCGACGCCAAAAGCGGGCACGATGCGCCTATCCTCGCAGCGACGCTGATGGCCCAGTTCTTGCGGACGGCGGCCCACCTCTCGTTCCAGGGCACCACGGCGCCGCTGCCCGGTCTGTTGTACAGATCGAGGCCGAGCAGGTGGAGCGGCGTGCTAACGGCCTGTACGGCGGCCGGCGCCATGAACTGGGCGACGGTCATGCCGTCGACCTTGCGTCTCAGCTCGGCGCCCATGCGCTCGTTGATCCAGGGCCCCAGCAACGGCGGCACGTTGAAGCTCGCAAAGATGGTGATGCAGTCGCGCACGGCAAACAGGGCGTAGGAGGCTGGAGTGACGGGCCGCGGGACGACGCCGGGGGGACCAAACATGCGCACGAAGACCTGGTCCTTGTAGATGCAGACACCAATGTTGGCGGCCGAGGAGGCGGCAAACTTAGCCGTGCCAGCCGTCACGGTGGTGGCGGGCTTGTTCGCGACGGTCGAGGAGACAGTGTCGAGTGTGTTGGCTGTCAGGTAGGTGCTTCCGTAGACGAGGAAGATGAGCGCGGCGGGTTTGGAGAAGAGGAGGGCGTGGGGTCGAAGCAGCAGCGTGCGGAAGGAGGATTTGATCGAATCGCCCAGCGTCTTGGAGCCTGATGCATTCTCCATGATGGAGCTATGGTCATGTTAGTCGCGGCACTTCTCAGGGCTCTTGTGGTCTTTTTTTTTCCGGGCAGAAAAGACAACGCATTGCGAGAGTACGCACCGGTCAATGATGGATATCACAGGGGCGACCAAGGCCGCGGCGCTCGCGGCCGCCAGCAGGTCAGAGCCGAGGCGCAGTCCCAAGTTTTGTGTGTTCCATATCCTTTCTCGTTCTATACGTGCCGGCAGCGCGCCGAGGACGTCAATCTTTTTATCGGGCGCCATGACGGCGACGGCCAGCGGACTGGACGGTTGCAGCGCAAGTGGTGATTCCGCCGAGCCCAGCGTTCGGCAGGCTGTGCTGTCGTCGTTCATCGCTTTCTGCGAGCCGGGGTGTCTGGTCTCGTTCGCCGGTTCGGCGAAGCAGCCTGGTTGTCCGAAACGCGAGCCAGTTTGGCGGCCGAGTTGGGATACGTTCTACTTGCGCTGTCCGTCGATCCGTGGCAGAGCGCAAAAGGTCGGGGCGAAAAGCTGCAATTTCTCTCGAGGTTGTCGGTGACTCCCTAATGGTTGACGATGACTAGGAACAGGACGGAATGGGACAGGGACCAGGCAAGACAAGAGGACGAGACAGAAGAAGTCTGGCTGCTGCTGCTGCTGGTTGACCCTGGACCAGCACTGGACCCGAAGCTCAAGGCGACCCGACCCGGTTTCCAGCCAGCGAGATGACGAGTGGGCTTCGGGCTGTCAACCAGCGAATGACGACGGTGAATTTCTGGCTTACGGGCTTTCGCGGTACGCCCTGCAGTGCGTGCGCCCGACATCGGAGATAAAATGGCATGGTGGAATGGCCTGATGATGGGGACGGTTACTCGCGGACGAACAGGGGTTTTAGCACAAGCAAGTCGCGGAGGGAAGCTTGGGCGTGGTCAACTGGCGCCGAGGACTCACTGCACTCGCGACAGCCCCCCCCCCCAGCATGTCCCAGTGGCCCCCACTGAGTGCCGGCAGCCGACGGGCCGGGCCCCCACGCTGGGGGAAGCTCGGTGGACCGTTGACCGAGGAGGAACATTCCTTCCTGAGCTTCTCCTGCCTCGTGTTGAAGGCAGATTCTTGTGCTTTCCCTAATGTATCTAGGTACGTACCTACGTACAACTGGTAAAAAATTGTTATTTTGACAAGAAACACGGGCTCAGTTGCAGCTTCTCCATACATCTACTGTCGCCATGTCGAAGCTTTGCTGAGGACGATCCTGTCACTGCCAACATTGACACCAAGAGTCTCCGTGGTCTGGTGGCACCTCTCGCCAACGCGCATGCTATCTTCCTTACTCAATACTGATTCTCATCTTGACACTCAACTTGTCCCATCTCTTCCATGCTAAGCTCATATGAGCGCGATCTTGTCTCTCTTCTTCCGCCAAGTCTGGTATCGATCCGCGCCGGCGTGGCACTGGGGACGAGTCCTCACCTGAGTATACAAATCCAACCCGACTACACGTGCATCGTGACGACGGGCGCGATCCTGAATTCTTTTCTTCCAGCAACAGCCCGCATGGCCCTCCCAGCTGCTCTGCAACCATGAGAAAGAGCAACTGCCTGTCCCTGTATGGCCTCAAGTCGTGCCCAGACGTCTCCCTTGTCATCACATCCCACGCCACGAGAAATGGACCCGGCGAGGGCACTGGTTGTGAGATCCCTGGCAAGTACCCCGTGTAGGTGGATGTGGGCGTCCAACCCCCTGGCACAAACCACGTCTTGTTCTGTTCACCAACTCCAGCGAGCTTGCCTCGCAAGACCTGGCCCGTCACCTTCAGCGACGACCCCATGAGCGGATCGCTAAACCTGTCCTCCCCATTGGAGCGCAAGGCAACCCTTTCTACTTGAAAGCTTTCTGAAAGCCGCCGCCTGCCGAGGTCGTGTCGACTGGATCGCTCGTAGGCTACAGCACCTGTGACGGAACCCCAAGACCAGCTCGCTGCCGGCCTCGATGAGAGTCGCGCGCTTGCTTTGATGGGTTGAACCGCCCACAGCAGGTCCTCGCCGAGTGACGAACGCCACAGACCAGCGACATAGTGGTCTTCAGGTCTCAGTCGCCCGACAGCGGTCGCGAGCCCCGCCAGTGCGATGAGTCGGTCCTGGGGAAAGGTGAGAGCCAAGCGCGAGTATTCCTGCACAACCTCGACGCGCCACAAGTCGCGGAAGTACTCCTGATCATCGTCGTTGACAAGAAGCCCCTTGAGGAGGCTCTCGTAAACGTAGGGTCTATGACTTGTTGCCGAGCACTCACAAGTACAAATGGAACGGCACTCCCATGCCATCTCGAACTCAGAGAAGTGCAACGTGCGGGGCGAGAGGATGCGTTCCTGGAAGACCCAGCCCCGCGTCGACAGAATACTGCGAGGGGCTTCCGGTTCGTCAGCCCACGAGTATTCCGTCTCCTTTTGACTGCGCACGCCGGCGAGGCCATGGTATGGTAGCAGAAGCCCGAGCTTGCCGCGTTCCCGGGCGCAGATAACACCCTCCACGCTGTGTCCGGTAGCATCCGTAAAGGAATACGGGACCTCGGCATGTGGTTTAGTCTGCCGCGTAGACGCCGCGAGGAAGCCGTCGGTGCTACACGAGGCGGCATCGGCCGAGATGGTGACGAGGGCGCTTTCATAAATTGTCGCCATGTGCGCCGCTTCGCTACGCCAATCGTCCTTGTCGTCTTGGATGATACAGAGAGAGTCTATCCAGAGAAACCGAACGCCCAACATCTTTGTGACGGCAACAGCGTCGCGAAAGGTCGCAGGTAGCGGAGATGGCAGGGTTTTGAGATGAGCCGCGAGCGTGCCACGTGTGGTACGCACTGGTGTGCTCCCGCCCCAGCAGTGACTCAGTGCCACATAGCGGTCCTTCTCGTTCGGCAACGGCAAGTACAGCTTGTTGTTCTCAACATCAATAACCCTCTTCGGAAGAGGTGATGTCTCGCTAGCAAGACATCCGGACTTGGTATGCTTGCCCGAACCAGCGGTGCAATCCCTCAACCAAGTGCGCGCCAGCTCGACGCAGCTGTCCGCGAGACCCTCAGTCGCAATGTGGTAGCCCTTGCCCACCGCCACCCACGGTGAACGTGCCTCGACATCTGAGCATGCGTCAGAAAAACACCGCGTCGTTGGTAGCGCGAAGAGTAAGGAGGAAAACGGGGAGCATGTTTACCCCAAGGCGTGTAATACTGCACCTCCACCCGAAGCACCTTGCCCTTTGACGGACCGTCCCTCAGGCGAGGTGGCTCGTTGGTACCGTCATACCACCCCGGGCAGAGCGTGACGGAAAGCGGACCCATGGAGACGTCTGGTCCCCCTCTCGTTGACCTGGAGCCACTGGTAGGCGTAAATGTCGAGGCCGACGACGGCGTAGGCGCCGTCCCAGAGCAGCCGGCAGGCGGGGCACTCGATGCGTCCCGTGCCCGTCAGCTCGTCCCGCAGGTCGCCAATCTTGACTTCGAGACGCCAGACGGTTTTTTGTTTTTGAGGAGACTTGTGGCACCGAGCGCATCCGGGGCCATTGTTGTTGGGCGGGAATTTGATCCACGGCCAGGGCTCAAAGTCCTTCCTCTTCATCGGGACTTATATCGTGCATGCGAAACCGGTCCATGGTTGGAAAACGATGATCGGGGAGGCAAAGAAAAGGGGGGGGGGTTCCCAGATGACAGTGGAGGGCTTCAGTATCGCATCCGGGGGGAGGACAGGGAATTGGGGAGGGCGTACATAAAAGTGTCGATCGATCCTGCGGCACAAAGTGGATGCAGGCGTGTGAAGCAGGGCAGGCATCCATCAAATTGCCGTCAGCTGAGGGTATCGTGCAGCTCAGCCCCCCCGGAACGGTGCATTTTCATCCCGCCTCTCAACATCTCTCTCACGCACAGCGAGTGGCCGATTGATTGATGGTAAAGTCAAGATTGCAAAGTTATCCAACAGCGCTACATTGCAATCGTCAAGGCTAGCTAGGCTGGAAGTGTAGCAGGGGAAATGCAGACTACGGTACGGACGATGATCCAGGCGGCCTAAAAGAAAATGCAATAGAACATGAGTCCTAACACAGGTCTCAAATTCACTAGCCGTTCGGTTTTCCTACGTGATCGCCAGACGGCTTTACGATTGATGCGGATCGACTGGCTAAGAGCTGTCCGTCTTGGGCAGCCTTCTGCTCTTGTGGCTTGTGCAACGCCTCGACGAGTGCCGTGAGCCGGTCGATGCGCTCGGCAAGCTCCGACATGCGCATCTCGACGGGTGTCGGGGCCCTCCATGCCGTCGTCCTCGCGTTCGTCCGTCTGGTCACGAGCCGAAGAAGTGGCGTGGCGACGGCAGACCGGGGCGCTGCGACGACGAGGGCCGGCCCAGACCAATCTGGCGGTGCGGCTTGGTGATTTGCGACGAGGTGCGGGGTCCCGCGAAACCGGCAAACTCGTCCGGCAGGACGCGACGGCGGATGAGCTCGTACAGTTGAATGGCGCCGACGATGGGGAGGTGCGTGGCCTTGAGCAGGAGGATGCGGCCGGCGCGGAACTTGTTATCCGAAGGGAGGATGAGGCGGAGGGGGCGGAAGATGACGAGGGCGACAAGGTTAAAGGGCGGGTAGAAATGCGTGAGGCGGTTACTAGTCGAGGCCTCGAGCACGTAGACGCTGTAGACATAGAGGTACTCTTCGCGGGCGTGGGTAATGACGCGCGAGAACGAGTTGCTGAGCATACCGGTGAGCGAGCCCATGAGGAGAATGGACGAGAGCGTGACGAAGAGAATCATGAGCGGGGGTCCGAACACGGGGTCAATATCGCGCATAATTTCGAAGCCGACAAAACTCGAGCCGAAGAAGATCTTGGTCAGGTTCATGGCCATGTGACGTAGAGGGAACTTCTCCTTGCCGATAAGGGAGAAGGTTGTGAGGAAGCCGAGGTAGATGATGACGACGAGGACCATGAATTTGACAAAGTCCTTGCCCATCTGCAAGGCTGTGTCAGTCAAGTTTGCGGAGCAGTGATCAGAAAACTCACCTCGCGGAGACAAGGGATCAAGGTGCCAAAGTACGGGGACAAGCTGAGGAACGAAAAGATACGCGGCACCATGAAGAGGGCCTCGAGCGAGAAGACGTTAAAGGCCAGATCAGTGATGTATTGGTCATCATTGACAAGACCGATGACCCCTAAACGTTGTTAGAAATGCCGGCAACGATACGTTTCTCACGGGAGGAGAGCTTACTCAGAACGGCAAAGGTAACGCCGATACCGATCATGATCATGTCGAAGAGGTTCCATATATCGGCAGCATAGAAGATGGACCCGGCATCGTTCCACTCGCTCAGCTCATCGTAGCAGAAGGCAGCGAACCAAACGTACAGCGTCGCCTCGGTGGGCGTGATCCTCTCCGTGTTGAGCTCGACAAGGACACCGTAGTAGAGGCACAGGAAGACGGCGAAGAAGAGAGCCTCCCAGGCCTTGAGGTAACGCGGCACACGAAGGCGGCTGAAGGGATCGGCGGTGCGTGCATTGTAGAAACGCGGCTTCTTCTCGGCATGGATCGAAAGGCTGTCCCAAAAGACAATGTCGCCGTTCCAAATGCCCGTGATGATCTTCTGCACGACATGCTGGCTGAGGAAGCGCTTGGCGTCGGCAATGGCGGCGATCTCGAGGGCGTTGAGCGACTTGAAGGGGGCCGTTGGGTCGTCCTCATCATCGCTTTCGCAGTCATCGTCGTCGCTGGCGTGCATGCTCATGGTGAGCCTTGACAGCGAAGACAAGAGCTGATAGCGCTTGGTGCTGCCGGCGCCAGCGGGGCGCGGAAGCGAGTGGCGGCCTGCACCAGCATTGGACCAGTTGGGCGAGAGGAGGGGCGACTGTTCGTTGCTCTCCTCGTCGCCGTTGCCGGGGACCTGCTCGCCTTCCTGGGTGTCGGGAATATCGTAGAGACAGAAAGCGACGGCCTCACGCTCAGACAGGCGGGTCAAGAAGCGCCAGGCGACAATCTCACAGGCATCAGCACGCGCCTCGGCGAGGTTGCGATTGTAGGAGTCGCCTTCGGTAGCATAGTGCCACCGCAGAGCGCTGGTAGGGGCGTCAGTCTGGGCAGGAGGGATCCTCGGGGGATGAAGTAATGGAAACAGAAAACTGACAGCAGGGCATTGACAATGGCGGGGTTGGTGCAGGTCGCGTTGAGGTGATCTACGAGCAGCCTCAAGCTATCGCCGGCAGTGGTGGTACGGAGCTGCTCAAAGGTGCTCGGCAGCTGAATGACTCGGCAAAGTAGACGGATAGCTTCTTTAATGACTCGCGGAAGCCGTCGTCGACCCCAATGTCAGGCAGCAGGTTGGCGTCCAGTTCACGGACATGGGGCTGGGCTCACGGGCGGCCGGCAGAGGGCGCGACTTGACACGCATCGGCATGATGGGCTGAGAGGTTGCTTGACTTTGTCTCGACAGGACCTTGGAGCCAATGGATGACGGGCAGGCAGCCTGTGCTTCAAAGCGAAGCCAGCAAACAGCTCGGATGAAGAGGAGAGGCCAAGACAGACGGGCGTGATGGTGAGGGGAGAGAGGAATGGGGAAGGAGGAGGTCGGTGAGGGTCGAGATGCCAAGCTTTGGCCGCGAAGTGTGGGGACGATTCCACGATAGGAAGGATGCCCATGGCGGGACGCCCCTGGCCGATGCCCACGGCCATGTGAACTGCCAGGTCGAGAATCCCTGGCTGGGATGAAATATTAGGGGACAGACACCTGAAGGACAGCAGGGTTCCCGGGGGGCCCGTGCCGCCCTGTCGTGACGCGCTGAGCGCGCCGCTGCCTCGGTGGTGCGTGTGCACAATCTATGCTCCTTGCCATTGCAGGTTTCTCTTGGTCCGGTCTGTGGACTTGATGAGGAGATGGTCACGAAACGATGATCATCGGAAGGCACGCCGGCTTGGAAACGCAACAGCAGCTCTGCTACCTGCTACCTGCTACCACCGAGCCGTCCCAGTACGTCGGCTCAGACTATATGCAGGGATCTGCACATGGTAATGCCCATTCGTCAATCGACCTCGCATCCAGCACCTGCTTTTAGTAGGCACCACTGGTCAACAGCCGTGCATCCAGTCGAGACACCGACTGGTAGAAGGGCCGGCTTTGGAGATTGCCCGCGGAAGCCATCTTCAGCTCTCGACATGACTCTTTTTTTCGTTTCTTAACTGCCGGTACGCAGTTGCGCCGACTTGGAAGCAACGGCCGCGTCAACCCAACATCAGACGACCATTTCGTCCGACTACGGCCAACGGCAGCGAGGCACCGCCAGAAGCCATCATCAATTGGTGACACTGGACCATAGCGAACGAAAACCCTAGACTGAGCTCGGCCTTACCATTCTATTTAATTCCTGACAGCACAAGGTTGAACGATCATCTAGGCGCGACAGACTGAACCAGTCTCGGTTGTGACCACGCCAACAGACGACATCAACATGGCAAGTAGCAAGCAGCTCGGGCCAACGTGGGTGTTGTTTGAGGTCCGCTCCGGGTCACTCGTGGCTGGGCGCAACACCTCCCCCCCACCGCCTCTGAACGGGGCTCATCCTAGATGGGAGCTCTGATGCGGATCCTCGCTTCCAGACTCGGAGCTGCCCCATTGGTTGCTAGGCAGCTCGGGCGAGGGTCACAGCAACAGCCAGGGACAGACAAAGAGTAGCAAGAAGGAGAAAAAACAAGTCTTGATGCAGGGATTGCGAGTGAGGCTATCCAACAGCCACGAAAACGACGGCGAAGAGGACGAATTATCAAGAGGCACTTTTTTATTTCTCTTTCGGCCAAAGCCACCCGATGAAGACAGATAGCGAAAATCTGGCAACGGGAAACCGGTCGGAACGAAATCCAGAGTTCAGTCAGACCCCCAGCGAGTCAGCCCAGGGAGGCCTGGCACAGCCACGCTGCGGTCTAAAAAAAGGTTGTCATGCTAGGTGTGAAGGCATCTGGGGAGCGCTCAGTGGTGCCGCTAGCACCGCACGAGACAGTGTGAAGACCCAGGCGGACCTGTGTGGCTTACGTGTCGTTGAGCACTCATCGCGACAGTGCCCAAATGTGTTCGACTCCACAGCTGGGACGAGATCGACGCGTGCACCGCCACGTCTTCCCAGTGGAAAACACTGGGAAGGCACTGAGAAAGCAGCGAACCGCAACTCCAACCTTCTATCTCACCCAATCCTCCCCAATCAAGCGACGAGATCGTCGGGCAAGGTCCCTGACTTGTCCATTGGTGTGCCTGAAGTAGGGTCAGACCTGCAGCGGGAGGCCCAGACCCGCAGGAAAAGGCCCCCCCTTCCCATCAATGACGCCCCCAAACCCCGCCACCCTGGCGGGAGCCCAGCCAACGAAGGTGTGGGACTGCGGCCGAGAGCCAGAAAGCCCATGATGATGCCTGCACCTGCCACCTGCTTTTTCCAAAGCCCCAAGCAAGACCAACAAGTTTATACGGCCTTATGGAGGAACTTTATTCGCAATATCCATCGATGAAAGGGTAAACAAGTTGAGGCAAAGAGGGTATGACAAGGACCATCGGCTTGGGATCCCACGTATTGTCGTTTCAGCCCTGTGTCTTTCCATCTTCTCACGACGATGCCGAGGAAGGGGCAGCAAAGGCCCCCTCCATCCCTGCCACTTAGTTGACTTCCCTGCAGGGTCTAAATTTGCCTTCAGACGGTTGTTCTTTCTTGGCCGTGCCGTGCCTGGCTCGCTGGAGTACTTTCTTTTGTCTCGCGGGTGCCCAGGACGCACTTGCCTTGTCGTGCCCTCTCTCTCTCTCACTTCACACAACTCCGAATTCGCGCCCCAACCGACCCAAACCGCTGTACGGGTTTCAAAATCACCGACTCTTGCCATGAGATCCCGCTGGTCGCTGCCCGCCTTGAGACACAGCAGCAACACCTGCCAAATTGCAAACCATATCGAACAGCAGCCGACTCCCAACGGATAGATTTACTTCTCACCACCTCCCATTTCCAACAAACACTACTTATCGGCATCCATCGCGCGAGACACAGCGTCACTCACACGACGCCTCTTCAAGAAAAGAAGAAGCTACGAGGACGCCATGTCGCTAGTTCATGCCATGCTCCCGCATTTGCCTTCCGCAACGGCCCTTCTGTTGCTCACCTCTATTCTTGCGCCAGCAAACGCCCACGTGCTACCTCGCCAGACGTTGGTGATTGACTACCGCCAACTAGACGTCCTCCCGTATCCCCCGCTACCAACTGCGGGCTTCGGCTGTTGCCTCACGACCTGCTGAGGAGGGCAAGAAGGAGAAACACGATATGCGGCTACGTCGGGCGGTGACCCTGCCCTTCCCGCCACGTGCTCGGCCGGTTCGCACTTGCGTTGTTGACCAGGGCGTAGGCGCCATCGGATGCTGTCCCAACGGCGCCCGGCGCATGCCCGACGGGTGTCTTTACCGGCTGCGTTGACGCCAACAGCGGCCCCCAGACCGAGCTAAACCCTTACGTCTTCACTTGCGTCGGCTCCGACGTATGCTACAGGAACACCTTCGAGGGCGGAAACTTCCAATACGGCTGCGGCTCCGCCTCGGACATGGCTGCCACCGTCGTAGCTACCGCTTCCGGCGTGACGGCCCCCGCCTGCACTCGAGACTGTTTCGGCGCCCCTGACGGCCACGCCTAGCCAGCTGTCCGAGCTACGACGCTCGGGTCTGTCTCCAGCGCAGCAGACACGTCAACGCATCG